TTTTTTTTTCAATAACCAGATCTGTAACATAATATACAGTGGCATATCAGCAGATCTGCAACATGATCTACAATACTATTTAGGGTATCTGAGATGTAATTGTGAGGTGCTACAACATTCTGTTATATAGGCGGACACCCCTGGAGAAACCCCTAAAGGTACATGGTAACTTTAACTGATCTCAATAAGGAGAAATTGGATATTGATCCAGGGGTTTCATTACAGGCCAGGCACTGAGCAAATTGACCAGCTTAGAGGTTGATATTGCCCACCTGGTTTTCTGCCATCTAGAGGAAAATTTTTCTTATAAAGAAGTTCAGTTCAAAAAGGTTTGCCCGCCTGTGAAAACCAGTTGCCTTCCTGCTGGAAACGTTAAAGAAAACACTGTTGATCTCTCTCCATTAGGTGATCTATTCTGTGCTGAAAATGTGTGCAGTCTTCAAACCTTGTTTGGTAAAATCTTGTGAAGAGTGTAACTGTCGTTCCTAAGAGCCACCCTGCAGTTTGGGGTCACCTAGAAGAGAAATACAAAAACAAAAAAAACAGCTACAAATGGTGCATGATTGATGTGATGCAATGCATATCTTATAGCTCTTTTGATGTGGGCGTGGGCATGTACATGTACATGTCAGTGTTCCATTTAAATTTTTAGAACAACTGATCACACCATTTATCAGGCAGGCCCCCAAAGATGGTTGCTGCCCTCCTGGTGCAGCAATCATGCTGAAAAAGGAGGATCACCCCTTTTTGTAGGGAAGCCTTGGGGCACTCCCCTTCGAAATTTCAAGATCTTTGATGTTTCATGGTGTTCTTTAATGGTAGTATTTGGGAGTCACAAATACACCAAAATCATTTTTTTAAAGTAATTCTTTTAGCTACATGTACATTTGCACGTAGTATTTTTTTAACTTTTTTTCATGTTTTACAGTCAGTGTGATGTCTTCAGATTGTACCAACTCAACCTATGTGGATGTTGAAGTAGAACATGTACAGACGCACATAACAATAAGAAAATTTACCCCAGAGAGCATTATGTACAGTTGACTGTCACAGAAAAGAAAACTCATGCCCTCTTGATTGAAGATTTACATGTAGCATGTATGAGGCAGAAAAGAGAGTTATGTTGAAGTGATTTTGTTGCTAAAAGTACTAAGCAATATCTCACTTCATTATCTATGACTTGTGTACTTCTGTCATGGACCTACAGTGTAAATAAATATGACATTCTGTCACCCTGTCTCTCTAAAATGCCATAAAAGGCCGCAAAATATACCTGCAAAAGCCCACATACACTTAGTTTTCTAGACTGTGAAGCAATATCTTTTTAGCTAATATCAAACAATATCATGGCTTACCTCGCTCATATCAATTGATTTATCAATATCAACCACAAATTTCCCTTCTGGGTGAACCTGTGGGATGAAAAAAGATATTAGCTTCACATATAATTAATTAAAGAAGCTAGCTCCCAAAAATAAAAATAGATGCAGCCAATACAAATAGGTGGCTAATATAAAAGCATGATTCATGCAGGGGAAATGTAATACAAAATGCCATAAAGAATAATAAAAAGTATACAACAATTCTACAGTTCAGGTAAGCCGGTGTTATGTTTTTCATGTACAGTACATGTACATGTAGATATTAAAAGAATTCACCATGCTTTTGTGTTTAATCAGATACATGTACTCGCATAACGATACACAGGCAAGATTGATGAGACACTTAGAACAAAGCGTACACAAGTTCTGTAACTCAAAAGTAAGAGAGGTTCATTTATCAAGGAAGTACTATATTTCACTTGACGTTTAGTGGTTAGTTTGTCAAATAAGACATCTTACATGCATAAGTAGAGGGGGTGAGTGGAATAAAGCTCTAAGTGACTTTTGGAAAATGCTGAGGTAACCAGCATTGAAATACTTTCCAGCAATTAATACAGTTCGTCATTATTGCCAAAAAAGAACTAGTAGTACTTACACTTCTTTTGAGACAATCACTAAAACCAGAGTAACCTGTGAAAATTGCTGGTAGGTATTTCAATCCTGCCTTAAAATTTTCTAAAAGTCACTTAGTTGTTTTTATGTCTTATTATTCCGCCCACCCCTTGAGTTGTCCTTCTCAAAGAAACACAAATTAAGGTAGATTGTTTCAGGAATCACTGGTACGTGGACATGAAGGAAGAAACGAAACACAACTAATTGACATAATTTAACTGTGGTTTTGCATGTACATTGTATTGTATATCAAATGCTGATGCTCATCAAGTAAATAAGGAGTTTAGCACAAATGATTATCAACCAGTACAGTTGTATGGCAACCAGAAGTTGATGTTCAGCTTTGGTATGTTTTCACTCTCACCAATAAGATGGATTCCTCTAGTCTGAGCTTTTACAACTTGAAAGCTTACGTTTTTTTATGGAAAGCCAATTAAATACCTACATGTTTACACCGAAAAGAACACATCCTGTAAGCTTACCATTATCTAAACTTGGTACAACAGATATATACATATAGCTAATACGTTCTTCAATGTTGAAGGGTAGGGCAATATCCTTAACTAAAAATATACATTTTTACACCTACAATACAACCACACTTAGATTTAAAAGCTACAAAGCAAAGTTCATAAAAGATTCACACATGGGGTCATTCATGAATCCAGTTTGAAAATATTTTCAGGAATGAATAGAGCTGGTATATTTTAGTGGTGTTCAAGTGGGAGCAAAATCAAAGAGACTTCATACAAACACTGAAGCTACAGTATTGGGTAGAAAAATATACAGAAACCTTAATTTAGCCAACCAAATAACATAACAGTGAAACGTTCCTTGTGACAAGGTATATCTTTTACTTGAGATACATATCACAAAATAGGCATCTTGAACAAGCAACAAAAATGTATTGTATTGATCAATACCATTTAAGGCCCGAGAACAATTCAATCAATACAAAGAAAAGCAATTCAAAAACACTTTGTCAACATTGCAAATGAATATATATGAAAGATCATATATTTGAATTAAGAAGAAAGAGTTGAAGACATATTGATCATCGCAGTTATACTCACAACTTAAGCAGTCGTGAAATATTATGCACTAGTCAACAGTTTTGTACATGTAGCTCGAACAACCTTTCAATTCTTTGAATTACTTCTTTGAGTTAAAGTTTGGAACAATTACACATGCAACTCTGAAGTTTTTTCTAATCATTACTGTATTCTGAGGAAACCTTGATTACTGACAGAAACCGACCTTCACTAAAACCTTTTTCTTGTCCATGGGTTTAACCACCTCACCGACATACGAGCCTTGTTCCTGCAGCAGCTGCAATTCCTCTCTCAACATTCTCACTATAATGCGGAAAGTCAATAGATCATTTTCAATTTATAGAATGAATGCTTTGTCAATTCTCCACTTCCAGTATACATATTGTATAATGTAATTATAGAATAGTATTTTTTTTTTCAGTTCTTCCCCCTATAATGATCATAAATTAGTGGGGGTGAACAAATGTAAAAAAACTTAAATTTAAAAAGTATGATCTAAGTCAGCAAAAGAGCACATGCACTAAAAAATAGTGTCCATAGTACATATGTACAGTGGTGTATATATCCAAAGTACTTCAAGTGTAGTTTAATTGCTATTGCATGTAAGTATTAGATACAACCAGCTACAATGTACATAGGAATGTTGCTTCTTGTGTACAGAATGTAATGCAATAATCGACCATCCTGTCATCCAAGGCACAAATTTTTGAACAACACACGTAGTATCTGGAATACTGTCAAAAAGAAAGCACATTCAAACTGAGGTAGTAACTTACCCTGGTCACATAGACCTAAAAAGGTCAAGGACTTTGAAGTGTGGAGAAATGAAATGTATACCAACCTTTAGCATTTAGCTCATTTCTCTGGGCTTCAAGTCTCCGCAAGTTCTTGATTTCTTCTGTGACAACCATCTAAAGAAAGGAATTTGTGAACTACAATGTACAATGGCAAGAAAATAACAAAGAAAAACAAATAAAGGATAAACCATACAAAAAGTGACTGGAAAGATGACATAACATGTGTTAGGAATTCTGTCGAAAGCATACCTTTTCTGTTTCATAAAAAGTACCTTGTAACTTTCCAATCTTTAATAATCACAGGGTTAAATAAAGGACCACCTTTGATCCAGTGACAAACATAGAAAAATCTCTTTATTACAGATGCAAAAGGGGCAGAACACAGTGTCAATATTCTGGAGATGTTTACAAGTACATTACAAAGTTAGAAATTATATGAATTCTTAAGCCAAGAGAACTGTCTGTACATGGTGTACATGATGCTCACTTTGCATTATAAAACAGTAGAATAGCAATTTTTTGAACCCCCTTGAACCCTTTCTCAATTTTTCAAACCAATTTCTGTTCTATTAGGTGGTTCAAATAATTTGGATTCCACTGTCAATAATTAAATAGGAAGGTAAATGACAGAAGTGCATAGCCTTTGCTATATGCTTATAGCCCAATTGCCACATGTTACCTGGAGAGCCTCAATCTTGGTGATGTAGTATTGTTGAATTCCTTCATGTTGCTTCTCCTCTTCTACTTCCATCTGCATGAATGAAATGACAACATACATGTTAGACATTAGGGAGTTTAAGCAGATCGCTATGGCTGGCTCTGATACGGCTGCCAGAAGTAAATTTTCCCCAAAATGAGACACTGTGCATGTAAGTCGGTTGCATCCAGCAGTAGCCTGAAATTTGACTACGCAAGTCAGGATGTTTTGCCGTAGTGGCTACTACGTCGGGTTTATTTCACTTCTCTGGCCCTTTTGAATGGACATCTTGGCATTTTAAGAATTCCATTGAATACTATATCCTTTAAACTCAATTTAAGTCAAAGATTGTGTCAAGGTTGCCTTTCGTATATAAGCTTGTAAATCTGTATCCTGAATTTACGATAAGTTTTGGCAAAGGTGATGGAATGGCGAAGCGAGTCAAGTGAAATATTCATGTTGAGCACAAGGTTGTTTTTCTTCGGTTAAGTTTGCTTTGAGGGTTTAGTGAAGATGTTTTATATCTGGATAACTATACGATGCTATTTTGCTTCTT